CGGCAGCCGGCTCTCCTTCCCTGAAGCCAGCCCCGAAGCTGAAGTCTGCTAAGTCATATGGTGCTCTCCGAAAGCCTACGCCCACCAAGTCGAGTCTCCCTGCTCCTCCGACGCTAGCTGAGCCTCCTACCAACGAGTTCAGGAAAGCCTCAGCCTCTCTACGCGATCAGATTGCCAAGGCTAAGGCTGCGAAGCGTGCGGCGGATCGTCAAGCCGCAGAGGTCGCGGAAGTCACGGAGGTCACGGAGGTCCCCGAGGCCGAAGAAGCAACTCCTGCTCCTGCTCCCATTTCAACGCAGGAATCAGAAGTACCTGATCTACCGAAACCGCTCAAATCCCCCATTGTGCCAGCGGACGAAGGCTTTGACTTTGGCATTGGTGTTGCCATGACCACCGCCCCTGCCCCCTTTGACACCAGTGACCCTTTCAATACCAAGCGATCGGAGAACGCGACAGGAAAGATCATCCAGCAAAGGATCGGAGCTGGTCGAAGCACCGGAAGACTCAACATCGCAGCGCTCGGCTTGAAGGAGATCCCCACCGAGGTTCTCAAGATGTACGACATGGAGTCTATGGGCACGTATGACGGCTCATGGGCCGAGAGTGTCGACTTGACAAGATTTGTGGCTGCCGACAACGAGCTAGAGACTATTGCCGATTCGATTTTCCCCGATGTCCCGCCCGAGCAGATGGCCGAAGACGAGGGTTCCAGCGGCAACATCTTTGGTGGCCTCGAGGCCATGGATTTGCACGGAAACTCGCTGATTTCCCTGCCGATGGGATTGAGACAGCTTCGCTTGCTTACATCCCTCAACCTGGTAAGCCTTCACGTTTCACTTCACGGATTCACAGCTAACATGCAGCAGTCGCAAAATCGACTCGCCAATAACTGCTTGGACGTCATCACCGAGGTCACTGCCCTCCGCGACTTGAAGCTTGCCAACAACCTCTTGTACGGCCCCTTGGACCCCAGCTTTTCCAAGCTTGAGAACCTCGAGATCTTCGACCTTCACGGCAACGAGGTCTCATCTTTGCCCGATGGAATCGAGAATCTCTCCAGACTTCGCATTCTCAACTTGAGCAGCAACAGCTTTGAGTCGCTCCCGTTCACAAGTCTTTCCAAGCTGCCCCTGACGGAACTGCTTGCCCAGAAGAACAAGTTGTCTGGCACCCTCATCGAGGCCGGAGTACAGGCTCTGTCGAACCTCCAGATGCTTGACTTGTCTTCCAATCAGCTTACCTACTTGGTGTCTCCGGGCGCCACCATTAGCCTTCCTTCCGTTCACCAGCTCGTGCTGTCCATGAACCGACTCAAGGAACTACCAGATGTCAGCTCCTGGATCAGTCTCCTTACTCTGACCGCCAACGAGAACGCCATCCCCGAGTTCCCCACAGGCTTCACTAAGCTCGAGAAGCTCAGGAACGTCGACTTTTCCGCCAACGACATCCGCGTGGTTCCGCCCGAGATCAGCAGGATGGACAACTTGACCATGATCCGCCTCAGTGGTAACCCGTTGCGTGACAAGAAGTTCGTCTCTGCTACCACGGAAGAGCTGAAGGATGTTCTGGCCGGCAGACTTGAGCCACCTCCGCCATACCAGGATGAGAACGCCGAAGCCGCCGCCCCTGATTCGACCGACTTTGACGATATTGCCGACGGGTTCGGGAAACTCACCATCAAGGATGCGCCCCCGTTGCCTCCCGTTCCTGCCGATGAGGAAGAGCGCTCGGATGATAACTTCGCCACGCCCCCGACGTCGTCGACTACCTCACCTGCACGTGCTCGTTCCCAGACTCTGTCCAAGGAGACATGGCCTGTCAAGCCGGGAGGCCTTCTGGATCGATCCAACACTCAATCATCCTCATTGCACCCTGTCGTCTGCTCAAAGGTGGCGGCAGACAACAAGGTTCGCGAGGTCCAACTGCACCACAACCTTTTCACTTGCTTCCCGAACTCGCTCTCCTTTTTCGCTGAGACCCTTGGCGCTTTGTCTCTTGCCCACAACCAGCTCGTCGGCGAGACCTATCTGACCGAGGAGCTCGAGTTGCCGTCCCTGCGTGAGCTGAACCTGGTTAGCAACCACATCACCAGCCTCGCCCCGCTGACCACGCACTTGAATGCTCCGCAACTCGAGAAGATGGACGTTTCGCTGAACCGCATCACTGCACTGCCGCCTAACTTGCGACTGGTCTTCCCACGTCTGGTAGTCCTCATGATTGCAAACAATCACTTGATCGAGCTGGACCCTGATGCCATCAAAGGCCTCGAGGTTGTTGACGCTGGCAATAACGACATCGCTCACCTCAACCCGAGGATCGGCCTGCTCGCCGGCGCCGGCGGACTGAAGCGTTTGGAAGTCTCTGGCAACCGCTTCAGAGTTCCCAGGTATAGCGTCCTGGAGCGTGGCACGGAGGCGACATTGCGTTGGCTCAGGGGGCGGGTGCCTGTAGCGGAGATGGCATCCTGGAAGGAGAGCCAAGGCGACTCGGGCAACGGCTCCGACACCAGCTTGGCTGATGTTGACTAGATGGAGATGGCATCGGACGGTTCGGGGGATTTGCTTTCGGGGTTTGGGGCCTTTTCTTTGTGCTTCTTGCACATACTATTCCTTACCACTTGTGGCGCGCCTAGATACCACATTGTGTTTTGAGCCAACGGAGTTGAGGGATCTTTGTCATCAGTCGTCTGATATCCTGTACTACTACTGTATAATACTTTACTGTTAATATCAACTAGAGAGAAGGGTCTCTCGGAATTATGGTTTTCGTTCCTGGTGATCTAAATTTTCGGTGAAGCGGGCCGTAAAACATGGACACACCATGGCTGCCTGAACTGCCGAAGAGGTTCTCAATATTGATCTCGTACCCTTTCAACCTGTTCCATCTCCGCAATAAATCCGTCCCATGGTCATATAAGGCTGACTGTCTCCCAGCCCTCTCCTCTCGAACTTCCCTTTAGTGCCATCGATTGATCGACAGTCTACACACTTCGATTGCTTCATTCCAACGCTTGTACAAATCAAACAACAAACTTCGCACTTTGTTTAGACACCTCAAGATCCGTCCACACAAACACTTCCGTACAGTTATGTCGCCCTACGAGGACCTCAAGCTTATCTCGACAGTCACCACCGAGCGTCACCATCGCCATCGACTCAGTGAGGCGCCTTCTGATTGGGAAGCCCGCGCTATGCGTTCGAGGCTTTTTTCTGGGACTGAGGCGCAGCAGCCGGACTCTGCCGCCGACGATGAGGGGGAGTACGTCTTCATCGCCTCGTCTGAGGTGTCTTCTGCCGAGGACGTCCATCACGATCAGGCCTCCGCTGTCACCGATCCAGCGCCTTCATCTGGTACGCAGCAGCCGGAACCCGCCAAATACGACGACGAGCAAAAGGAGGGTCGACGCGATGATATGGCTTCGCCTTCTGACCGCGAGGGCCATGGGCAGCGTCTAGTCAATGCTGCACCATCAGACTGTGGCAGCTCTGCGCCTTCGTGGCGATGTATGCAATCTTGGCGGTGGTTCGGGACAAGTGGCTGGTCTATATGAGATCTACCCCTGAGCAGAGGAAGCCTGAAGATACGACAACCATGGCGGCGCTTAGAGATCTCGGCACGGCTGGCGCGGCGAAGGCGGCGCGTGTGGCGCTCTGGTGTGCGGTGGGAGAACTTTTTGGCATCACTAGGCTTTTCTTGTCTTTGATGGAGAAGTGGGAGTTTTTCGGACTGTTGGAGGGCTCGAGGGGTTTGGGACTGTGGTGAAGTATGGTTGAGGTTAGGTTGCCTCTTGTTTTTTCAGCGTCAACGACCCCGGCGGTGGGATACACAACTTAGACAGCGGACATCAGATATTAATGTTTTGACCCCTTCACTACACAATTAAAGGTGATGATCAATCCCGATGTGATGACCTTCAGCCTTTGTAAGTGGCAGGCTTGTTGTGCATAGTTATCCTTTCTGGAATGTTGAAATACGATTCCGTAGGTCTTCTCCGCCACCTTGGAAACAGCTGAGATTATTGAAACTCTATAGCTGCCGTCATCGCTATTATCTTGTGAAAGCTATCTGCCCAGAGGGCAAGCATCGGCTCGAATTTAAGTCCATCGCCTTTCACACTGACTGAGTGCGATAACAGAAGCTGGAATCATTTGGAAGGGAACTGAATTGGACCAGTCGCAGTACTGATTCAGAAATTGGGAATGTGATTAACTTCCAGCTCACACAAAACCCATGAATCTTGATGAAGTTGCTATGCATCATTGAGAAATTTTCGGAGTTGGCTTCTGGAAAGATTGAATGCCGGTTGAGGATTAGGCATCGTCGATTATGGACAACTTGGCTCTGGAATCCTAAGAAAAGAATCTATCATCTTATTCAAGTACTCAGACTTATGAAGAAAGTGACATTGCACCGATGCGCGTAGAATTAGATCAGGCTGAGACTTGTTTATCTGCACGAATGTTCCTACACATGCGCCATTCCAGTAGCTCAGGCTTGGCGACGAGGATGGGAGAACTCCATCAATTCTCATATTTCCGAAGCTTTGACGCATAAAGGTTTTGAAGGTTGGTTTCTTGTGGCGTACCAGTCTATTCTGATGGTCATTTTCTAAGAGGCCAGATTCTCGTCGCTGGATCTCCCAAAGATACGTGTATTAGAAACCGTCAACTTCAACCCTTTCCCCGGAGCCTGACATGATGTCGCATTCTCATTTCTTGCCGAGTGGTTCCCTTCCGCAGCTAGAAGCAGCTCAGCAGCCACATCTTGGCTTCTCAGGATGGCGGATTTTCATTCGCTCAAATACCGCCGATTCACGCCCTGTAAGCACCCACTTGGAGTGGCATGGTCTAGCTGCACGAGAATGGGTATTCGTAACGGTAAGCACAGGGTCTGCAGACAATAAGAAGCCATCGACGGCCCGGTCCTCTCTCCACGCTGAGGGATCCTCGGCCTATCAACTTCATTCCGACTCTGCGCTAAGTTGCGCGCCCCACTACGCGATGGACGATGCGACCGCAGACTTCTTCCAAATTGCGGGGGAACGTGAATACTGGACCGGATATGATATTGGCAGGGAGTTTGAGCTTGCAAAGATTGACGATCACGACTGGGTACCGGAAGAAACGAGAGCAAAGGTGCGCGAATGGGCAAAGACGAAGACGGTCCCAGTCCGACCCTGTGATGATGGCCAGCAGAAACCGTACAGGCCCATCATCGATCCGTACGAGATACGAGTCCTCGAGGTCAAGCCGGGTACCAAGGGGGATAAGCTCCGAGGCTTTCTACACCACTGCTCGGTCGAATACGTCGACCCCGAACCATACAACCAGTCCTTCATCAGGGTGCGCTACGCGCTCTCGATGGACGATCTCGTTACCCCAATATCCTACACTGCGTTGAGCTATACCTGGGGCGATAACATCGTCGACGCAATGATCGAATGCGACGGCCACAAAAAAACAATCACCAAGTCTCTCGAGTCGGCCCTCCTCCATTTCCGTAAAGAAGACGAGTCTGTGATGTTGTGGATCGATCAGATCTGCATTGACCAGGGCAACAACGACGAAAAGGGGCAGCAGATCCCCCTGATGTCAAGAATCTACCAGCGTGCCACCAATACTGCGATCTGGCTCGGCGAAGCGGGCGAAGGCTCTGACGTGGCGATCGAGCTCCTCGAGGAGGTCAACATCCGGTTGCAGTTCACGACGGAAGACGATATTGACCCGAAGGAGTTCAAGAGGATCGGCCTGCCGGAACCTGATTCACACGATTGGCGTGCTCTATGGAAGTTGCTGTCACGGGAGTGGTTTACGAGGGTCTGGATCATCCAAGAGGTCATTTTGTCGAGGGATCCATGGGTTGCTTGTGGTGACTCGCTCATCACTTGGGAGAATCTATCCAGCGGGTGCATGCAACTTGTCACGACTGGAATCTCTGCGTGGCTGCGGAAGAAGGCTCCTGAGTGGGCTGTTGAGGAGGCTGCCAAGGATGCTGGAAAAGCGGTTGCAAAGGAGGCTACGAATGATAGTAAAACGGATGATCGAGACATGTGCGAGCTGGCGTGGCAGCTTCACCGGATGAAGCAGTCAGCCCAAGACAGCGATAACACGCTGGTGCCGCTGCTCGTGCAGTCCCGTGGGGCGCAGTGCTATAATTCGAGAGACAAGGTGTATGGATTGCTTGGGGTGGTCAACGAGGATCATCAGGCCGCGGTGAAGGTCAGCTACGCGGACGACTTCCCTGCTGCGAAGCTGTACCAGCAAGTCGTGGCGCACCATGTTTCTCAACACCCCACGAGATGGGCACTGCACGAGGTCCTGGCGTGCGTGGACCATGATTCACCCCATTTGCCCTCTTGGGTCCCGGATTGGAGCAGGCCTCGTCTGACAGTTGCGTTGGGATACACGACTGCTTCCCAGGGGATTTACAGAGCCCATGGGAGATTTGAGCGGAAGATGTGGATTAGCGAGGATTTCAAAGACTGGGAACGGTTGCCTGTACGAGGCGACGAGATGTCTGTGAAAGGGTTCCTCGTCGATACCATCTCTACAACCAGTTGGGTTATCGAGAACCCTGATCTTACGTTCGAAAACCCAATGAATGGGAATCAGACACTGCTCGAGGTCTGGAAGTTTGTTTCTGAGATGGTGACGTACCCGCAGCCGCACACGCTATTCTCTGCGCTGTGTCAGACTCTCGTGGCGGGGAGAAACGACACCGGGAAGCAGAAGTGTCCAGAGTCGTACGAAGAGATCATCAGCCTTTTGCTGGACGCGTCAACTGGCATGGAACCTTCCATCTCTGGACAGACCTATACCGCGCGGCAGAAGATGCCCAAAGGAAAAGGCAGGCTAGAGTTGGAGAGGCTGAATAACCACAAGGTGGGATCTGCTGGGGATACTTTCCAAGAGCTTCGCACGGCGATGGTTAATGCGTTGAAGAATCGGAAGTTGGGCGTCACCGAGAAGGGCCATCTGGGATTATTCCTTGGGCATGCCAAAGTTGGGGACCAAGTGTATGTCCTGGAGAATTGTCATGTGCCGTTCGTGATGAGGAAGACGGATGGTGGGAGGTTTCGACTTGTGGGGGAGTGCTACGTGCATGGAATGATGCATGGAGAGGCTATCGGCTCAGACGCAAGTTTGACTGAGGTGGTTCTCATTTAGGAAGTTGAGTGTTCCAGAACTAGCTCAGAAACCAACGACGAAGACGAGTTGTGCCCGAAGAGTAATGCGACCCGTTTCTGACATCATTCTGCATGCTCAGCTAGACTCAGCTTATGCCATAGCTTCAGCCACAGTCTATGGTCTATTTTGTATGATACCTAGCATCTGACAGGCCGTCGAGCAGTAGCGCGTCAGCACTCGGGACGCTGAATCACCCGTTCTTGATACAGAATGTCTTGAATCCCACCGATTCGGTTCAGATTCTAGCCGAGCTTTTGAAGTCGGTGCAATATGTGCGACTCGTGATAATTGGTTGGGTTGCTGGGTGCGTCGTTTGAACAGCAATACTACATAAACTATATAAGTTAAAGAGCATATTAATCATGCCAGAAGTCAGGCTCCCAAGCGCAATCTGTCCACCCAGATAATCACAAGCTACTATCCACTCACCCTTGCATGCATCTTGACCAACTCTGTCAACGATAAAGACCTACGAAAATACCACCCAATACGTTCACGGTTAACATGCGACTACAACTACTTCTCGCCGCGATGGCAACCATTTTGGTGGCCCAAGCTGCAACCGACCTTAACCTTACCAGCCTGAACGCTAGCACAACCTGTGATGATACCTGCAAAGAGCTCGTCCTCCGCGTTTCCTCCTGGGAAAAGTCACAAAGAGCTTCAGACTTCTCCTTTTATGAGGTTCCGACCAACTTTTCCAACACCATGGTGCCAGGCACCGTCTTGTCCCTTGAGCCGACTACGAATTTGACGAGCTACACCGTACCAGCACCCTTGACCATGTCCCGAATGATGTACACGACTGAAGACCTCAACGGTACCATAATTCCCGCATCAGCGTACATCCTGTGGCCCTCAAGCCCGCTCAAAGCTCTGGACTCTGATTCATCAAACTCGACCTATTGGCCTTTGGTCGCATGGGCACATGGCACCTCAGGAGGTTTGGCGCCATGTGCACCGAGTTCCTACCGAAACCTGCAGTATCACTTCCAAGTTCCATACCTACTCGCTCTCCAGGGTTACGTCGTGGTAGCACCGGACTACGCAGGTCTGGGTGTTGCAAAGCTTCCCAACGGCGACAACATCGGCCATCCCTGGGCTGCGGCACCTGCCCATGCTAACGACGTTGCAAACGCCATTGTTGCCGCACGCAATGCTTTTCCTGAGCATCTCAGCCCTGTTGGGCCATTTGTTGCCATGGGCCACTCCCAGGGTGCTGCCGCCGTATGGTCGTTCACAGAAAGGCTGGTCGACAAGCCCATTCCAGGATTAAAAGGCGCTGTTGCCTTTGCACCGCCAACAGATATAATCAACCAGACCAGGAAGGCCATAGAAGATCATCAGGCAAACAAGACCCAGTTATGGACCAACACCTTCTTGAGCCTCCAGCCGTCCTTGGCAAAAGGGATAACGGCGGCGTATCCGGGATTCAACCTGTCCGGATTGACCGAGGCCGGACGCGACAGATGGGTCAATGCCCAGGAGGCTGTACAAGGCTGTCTACCCACGAAAGGAATCTCAGGCATCGGCATCCCATTAGGTCAGCTGGCATACCACGGCTGGACGGAGCAGCCGACTGTGTTGGACTTCGAGAAGAGAACCACCGTTGGGAGAAAGCCTTTCAAAGGCCCTTTGTTGATTCTGGCCGGGGATAAGGACTCCGTAGTTGACTTCAAAAACTTGGAGGTCAACGTGAGGGAAACGTGCGCAATGCTGCAAGGTGCCGGTGTCCACGAGAGTCTGGAGTTCTTGGAGTACACTGGGCAAAATCATTTCCCCGTCATCCAAGCGAGTCAAGGTAAGTGGCTTGGCTGGATCAGAGATCGCATTTTATCTACTGCGAGCATTAGCCACGGATGCAACTTTGGGACTGTGCGAGGGTTTCAACGCGAAGAGGCTATCAACTCCGTTTTCCCGAACTTTTTGGTCGAAATAGCAGGGCCTGGTGAAGGCTGGAAGTACAGTCTTCGAATTAATCTTGGCTTTGATTAGAAAGGTAATTTAGAAGGGTATGGTAATTCGTGTGCCTTAGAATCGGGGAAAGCTTTTGTTTTACCAGTTTTCACGCATTTCTTTGAGTTTCTCAATTTTGAGCGTTATTACCCGAATTGCCCTCGAAAAGTGGCAAAGACTACGTACGGCCTATAGATGAAGGGCAAAACTTGGACTACTCGTTTCGATTCAAATATACAGCAAATTCTTCTCGATTAGCAAGACTTGATTCAACACAATTTCAAAAGCTTGTGAGTCCGGCGTGGACAACATTCTCAAAAATGCTCTCGTTTCACCACAGTTAGTTGACCAGCGTCGTGGAAATCCGAAGGTTCCCAGCTCAGTGGACGAACCCAACACCGTAGAAAGAAATAAGATACTCCTTGACGTAAACGCAAGACTTAAAAATGACGTGAGTTTCCTATGTGCAGATCAACTCAACTCAAGCAGCTGCACAGCACGGGGTTTGGGATGACCCCGCCAAACGTTGTGGTGTGGGAGAATCAGAGCGCGATCGATCCTGGCTTTAGGTTCGTCCCATTCTCAGGGGTTCCGCTATAAATAAAAACAAAAAAGAAACTTGGCTTTTTGCTTAAGTGTAGAAAGTTTCGCTCAGACACCAGAACAACAAACAAGGTTTCAACCGAACTTCTTCTCTTTTTCGTGACTGGTGGAATCGGGTGGGCCTCGTCTTCATCGTACCAGACAGTATTCGGGTGGGAGTATTTGGTTTCAAGAGATTCCCCGGTGGTCTGAGTCAAGGGAAACGGGTCATGCGCCGGCGGTCATTAAGACTGGCATCTCCGTTGAAGGACGTCGCCGCGATTGATTGATGCGTCGTACTCGCGGTCTTTATCTTTTTTGGGAAACAGTTCCTTTGCAGATGAATCAGCTCAACTACGTGTGACCAGGTGTAGATCAATCTAGGTAGAATTACAATGCCCTCAACCTATCCTATCGTACACAACCCTCATCCGTGACATTAGGACAGATATCCGTATTACAAATTAGGAACGGATGTCGCGAACATTATTTGAAGAACCTCAACTCTCTTCACTGAAACTCGTCTAACTTGCGTCGCGCGCGACGCTTAGCCTTCCGCCAAATTGCGAGACCAGCAACGATGAGAAGCCATGTCGCCACTAAGTTTTCATACTATCAGCAAACCGACATGGGTATATGATAGAAGACCTGACTTACCGATTCCAGCCAAGAAACCGAAAATGGCTTCGCTGGATACGACTATGAAGCTTTGGTTGAGACCGAGATCTGGCGTGGTTGGCTGAAGTCTTCGAGGACCACCATCATTCCTCAAATCAGGGGCAGGAGTTGGAAGAACCAACGCAGCAGTCACTGTGACAGGCGCAGGGGTAACAGTGACAAAAACTGTTGTTCTCGGGCCCTCTGAGCTTGGTACCATCGTAACAGTGACTGGCGGCGGCGGTGGAGGCGGAGGTGGTGGTGGAGGACCAGGCGGTCCTGGAGGTCCAGGGGGGCCGGGTGGACCTGGAGGAGGCGGTGGCGGGGGAGGCGGCGGTCCAGGTGGCCCAGGAGGCCCTGGAGGCCCGGGAGGTCCTGGAGGTCCCGGAGGAGGAGGAGGCGGCGGCGGCCCTTCAGGGGGAGGTGGTGGAGGAGGTGGCCCTTCAGGAGGTGGAGGAGGAGGGGTTCCTGGAGGTCGTGGAGTTCGTGGAGTACCTGGAGATGGAGGAGGGGCATCCGGGGAAGGCGGCGGTGGTCCTCCATCCGGGGGTGGCGGTGGTGATCCAGGTGAAAGAGGAGGAGGCGGCGGTGGCCCTGGAGGGGGAGGACCTGGCGCGTTTGGCGGCGGAGGGCCCGGTCTCCCAGGAGGAGGCGGTGGTCCCTGTCGTCTCTCGTGTTGAGAATCAACATCGAGAATCAGATTAGACGGAGGCGACCTCCTGCGGGCCAAAGCAAGACGAGTCATCTTGTTTTCACGTTTCTGTCAATGACAACTGTGAGATATTAGCATCCGTTGCTTGCGATGAAGTCTTTGCTCAATGAGTGTGAAAAGTAAGAAGAACAAGACGAGGCATTTGTCAACTAGCATCCAGGGTGTTGACAGGTCCAAGTAATGGTCCACGTACCGTGTTACCGACGATCCGACTTGTGTAATCCGTTTCTAGTCAATGCCTTGGTGGTGAAGCGCTCAGCCTCGTCGGCTCTTGAAGCGTTAGCGGGATCGCTAAACACGTCGAGCACAAGACCAGTGAGACGGATGGCGGTTGACGCCAAGGAACCGAGATGGGGATTCTACCATAAATATTGGCCGTTGTTGTAAGTCCCCAGTCAGGAAACCTATTCTTGGCGATGCGTGGCGGCACGGAACCCCATCTGATGTTCGGTGCGTCACTTTGGAGATGGTTTCACCTCCTCTGATCCCGAGCCAGTGAGGCTGCAGTGCCTGCAGTAAGTAAAACTCAAACTCGACTTCCGATGAGCGACAGAAACCTTGTTTGAGGCTAAATACAGGATGGACTCTGTTGTGATGCGAGCCTGTCGTACTGGGGCGGGAAGTCGGCGAAGATTTCCTCTGCCATCCCTCTTGCGCAAGCGTGTCACAGTGAGCGGGGGACACTCGATCTAATGCACTCGTTATCGTTGAATTTGAAGACCGAGGGTCGTTTTCTGCCCGTGAAGCCCGGACAATTTCCCCATCTGAACTCGGGATTGCGGCACTCGACAGCAAACAACGGGCGATCGACGGTTTCATCAACACTGATTGACAGCTCCGGCGCCGACATGGCTCGATGATGTTTCTACATGGTCACGAACCGACTCGCCGTTATCATCAGATAGGTCCGGGAGTCTTCCAGACAGCGATCCGGATAACCGACGTGCAGGTATCTATAATTATCGAGGGGTCGGAAAAAGAAAGAGAATATGCTACGGGTGATCTGCATGTCGCTGTCATTGAGCTAGAGCGTTGGCGATCTGTCCTAAGTTAAGTAAGCTTTTGTCCTGCATGTGGTGAACCGGTCTGAATCGTTCCTGTATCGAGGAGGAACTCAATTGATATGACATGACTAGGAGGGTGAGTACCTTTTCTGTCGCCATTGAAAGCTCGCATGAGCTGTTGAATGGCAGATCATCCATGCCCAAGACAGCAATTAATCGACCGCGCTTATCACATTTCTCGAGCTTCATCCCGAATGACATGATTTCTAGCTCCAAAGCTACCAGAGCTTTCAGCTTGAGCTTGAGCTCAAAGCATGTTGAACTTAATTCGGCACTTATAACGCCGAGATAGCACTGGACCTTCCTTCAGTCGCAATAATCCCAATCGTAAGAAGCGGGGCTTGCGTCTCCCCGGATGTTTCTCTGTAGTTTATCAAAGATAGAGCACGGTTTGCCGAGTTGTCCTGTGGGGTGTGGTGGTTTCATGCTGTTCCGGTGGTGGGCACTGAGACTGCCCGCGAAGCTTCTGGACAGGGGTCGGCTCATGCCTAGGGCGTGTTTCCTCCTCCAATATTGGGAAACAAATAATAGCAGGAGATGCTTGCGGGATAAACACCGAATTCCGGAGCATACCACAATCGGGATATTCAGCGTGTTTCCTGTAGCCGCTTTATTAAGCCGAGGAATGCATCCCTCACCTCGTGCCGCCCATCCTGGTGATATCCAGCATTATAGGTGGTGAAATTAGACCTCTCTAGGTGAACTCACTTTCATCAAACTGCACCAACCAAAAGTGGACTGTACCGAGAGGTATCTTGTACGGCGACGCTAATGCAAATACCATATGCTCGCGCTGTGCTGCGCCCGTGGCGGATCTACCCGGCGGGTCCGGAGATTTCCTCTGGGCGAGATGTAGGCGAATGCTTGCTCCATGACCTGAGTTTGGATGCAGCTGGCATCTGCGTGAATGACCCATCTTCTGGCCTTTTATCTCCATTGAGACTGACAATGAAGAGGAGACATTTAAGGCCATACTCGATTGCGATACTCCAAGATCACAGTTCGTGTTTGGTTCAGAAGGTAACTCACTCACCAGTCTTTCTGTATGGAGAGTCGAACCAGACCTTGATGAGGCAAGGCGACATCTCATCATGCTAGATTCCACTACGAGCTCGGCGTTTGAATCTGCACGGCGTCTGACATACATCCACAAGCACCGTTGTATGCTGAGTACAAAAAGGTCCGGATATTGAAGTGTCAATCAAAAGGCGTCGTTGCGGGACTGATGTTCTATGTCCGCGGAGGATCGACGACTCAAGCGAATCAAAATGCCCAGATGGCGGATATGTGGAGCAAACTTGGCGACAAGAGTCATCAAATCCGACTACTAAGTAATGCTTACTAGAGGGAATTTCTTTACACCAATTCTCTAATTCGTAATAATCCTACCTCGGAAGCATCGTCTGCAACCTATAAACTTCTTAGTATTGTCGTCAAGATTACATATTTTGCGAGTTTCATTCACTGAAATTCCGTATTCACAGTGTCCGGGTTGTCCATTTCATCACCGGTTGACAGCGTTCTGGATGTCATAGGCAGAACACCATGCGTCCGTCTCCGCAAAGTTGTTCCTGAAGGCTGCGCCGACGTCTACGTCAAGCTGGAATACCTGAACCCAAGCGGCTCTTACAAAGATCGTATGGCGAGAGCCATCATCGAGGAGGCCGAGCGGAGAGGCGATCTTAAGCCTGGCATGACAGTTGTCGAGGCCACCGGAGGCAGTACCGGGTCATCACTGGCCTTCGTTTGCACCCTCAAAGGATACGGCTTTCGTGCAGTCTGCTCAAACGCTTTCGCTGCCGAAAAGCTGAGGACGATGGCTGCTTTTGGCGCTGACGTCGACATTGTCCACAGCCCGACAGGCAAGATCACCCCGGACCTCTTCCCAAAGATGGTGGAGCGTGCAAAGACACTCGCTGAAGAAGACAAGAGTTATTACGCCGCCAATCAGTTCAGGAATGCCGATGGCATTGTGGGATACAAGAGTTTGGGGCAAGAGCTTTTGGCCCAGTTTCCCGCAAGGCATTGACGCTTTCTGCGGTGCCACTGGCGGGGCTGGCATAATCATGGGAACGGCCACGGTACTCAAGGCGTCAGATTCTAAGACGCACATTGTTGTTCTTGAGCCAGAGTTGTCTTCGGTGATTACCAAGGGGCATGGAGGCACTCATGGTGTAGAAGGAATCAGCCCAGGATTCTTTCCTCCATTGCTGGATAAGTCACTTTATGATGAGGCCCGCGGTATCCCTGAAGAAGATGCACGAAAGATGTGCCGTAGACTTGCCAAAGAAGAGGGCCTACTCACTGGAACCTCAACTGGACTGAACGTTGTTGCTGCTATTCAGCTGGCGAAGGAGCTTGGCCCTGGGAAGACCGTCGTCACAGTTGCTTGCGATACCGGTCTGAAGTATATGAGCGGAGCGCTTTATCAGTAAACACAGGCACGATGTATTCTTCAAAAGAAATGCTTTGGAAGTGACTCCCTAACGATCCGATCTTCCAGGTTTGCTGAATCTGAACTGAGCACTATAAGGTAGAAGATCTGCTAGCCAATCCCGCTTAAGCAAGCTAGAAAGAACCGAGAGAAGGACGCCTCGGTTCACAGAGCAACAAGCGTTGATTTGCTGGAATCGGTGGAGACAGGGATACAAATGAAAGTACGCGGGCAGCAGAACAGAGTGCGCATTTGGCAGGCTGTTGCGTAAACCAATTGACACAAAACGGCAAGGAGTAGACACTAGTTTGTCTGAGACCGGAAATAAATCCTGGACGTGATCATATTCAGGGCGGAAATATTGCGCTCTCCTGCCTGCCGACGAATCTAGCTGAAGTGCAGGTGGGTTTTAGTCCAAGCGGAAGAGTGTGAGTCAACAGCTGAGTTCAAAGAAGCTGAACGGCTATTTAAATATTCGACAAATCGTCAACTCCGTAACCTTGACTTCTGTATATCATCAACAACCATCCCGCCACCCTCTACCAATATCTGCACATAGCTCTGAGTATGGCCTCGTTTGACGCAATCTTTTCATTCAAGTGCGATGCCAATAAATACTGCCGTTATCAAGATGGGTGCTACACCAACCGGAGACAACAATGGGAGAGTCGAAGAGCAGGCTGAGACTCAAGAGGAGATCAAACACCCCAAGGCGTAAGCACTTTTCAATTTACTCCTCGATGACTGCTGTTCCCTTTGCCGCGATTACCCTGCGGCACCCGAACCTTCAGGACTAACACGTAATACAGTCGCTACGCTTTGATTCTCATCGCTGCTTTCATGATCAACTTCATAGTTGGTGGATTGCTCTTTGGGTATGGCGTGTATCAAGCTCTTTACGAGACTATGATACAAGAAGAGGGGTCGCCCTTCGTCGGTGCCACATACGCCGAGATAGACCTCATTGGCATGCGAGAGAATCCATAAAAAGAACAGTTGGTATCAGCACTCATGAAATCTGTCTCGACAACTTCAAAATGCTTCTCTTGATACAATTTTGGTTGGCGCGCGGTTTCTCCAGCACTTCATGTTCTCATCAACGAGCGAGGACTCTTTTCTTTTCCATTACCCCTTCGCGTACCCCTGACAACGCCCCTTGATGGACCCTACCGCCAGGCCCAAGAGTATGACCGGCCACCAAACGCGTCTGTCGCGTCTGCAACATTGCCCATCAGCACTAGGCCGCGCTGGGAGGATGAGTCTATCACTATCGATAATTTGATTTGGCCGGAAGCAAGATCGCATTTTATGCTGTCTTCTCCAGAATCTTTGCATCCGTGGATCATAGCAATGGCAAACAATATTCTTGACCTCGCTGCTCCGAATGAGCTAAACAGTACCGAGACAAAACTCGTTTTCGACACCGTCGACAAACTTTTGCCTCTAGGTCTCAGCAAAATCGCCGATCTACCCCAGATAATTGTTGTCGGAGATCGATCTTCGGGCAAGTCCAGTGTATTTGAAACCATCGCAAATGTCCGCCTCCCGGGGACAGTGGCTAAAGGCCGTTTCGCGACTGAGGTGATCCTTCGCCGAGGGGTGCGCCAAATAGGTAGTGACTACAACGATTCAGTTCGCAGACAACACCAAATCGCCCCACTCACTGAAACTCACAACTTTCAACCGGAAGGAGATCGACGAGTTCATAGGAGAGATTGGGAAACAGATCGGACTTCCAGAATTGGGCCGCAATCTCTCTCTGGATGTCTTACGCCTGGAGATTGAAAGGCCCAAACTTATACCCATTAACGTAGGTCGATCTCCCAGGCCTCTCCCCCACGGCAGCATCAACACACCCAACCGAGGATGAGGCGAGTATGATGAACCTAGTGGCAGGCTACATGGAGAAGCCAAGCAGGATCATCCTGGCCGTTATCTCTGCCGAAAACGAACTGGAAAGTCAGTCCATTGTGCAAGAGGCAGCTAAGTATGATCCTTCCGGGCAGCGTACCCTTGGAGTCATCACGAAGCCGGACTTGATTCATCCAGGATCCCCAGAGGAGAACGAGTATCTGAAGATTGCTCGAAGCCGCGAGGCCGCTCGAAACTTGGGCCTTGGTTGGCACGTTCTATGCAACCGCAAAGATGACGAAGACCTCGATCCGCGGGAGTTTGTCGAGTAGGAATTCTTCGAATCAGGTCTCTGGTCATCAATTCCCGCCTCTGATCGAGGCGTACGAGATCTCCAGGCAAAGCTGAGGCGTATGCTCCACGACCACATCAAGAATGGTGTTCCCATGCTGTTGGGAGACTTTCAAGAAAGCCTATCCGACCGTGAAGTTGAGTTAAGTCAGCTGGGAGAACCGAGGACCACGCCGCAAGATATGCGAGCTTGCCTTACATGTATCAACATAGCTGAAAGGTTCCAAAAGCTTGCCCGCGACGGCATCTGGGGCCACTATGATGATCCGCTCTTCGGTGGCTTTAATGGAACACACAGAAAGCTCCGTTCTCAGCTGCGAGATCTCAACCGAGCCCTTCGGCATATTCTACTCACACTTGGCTCTGCTCAACTTGTCATGGGACGCCCGAATGCCGGCCCACTGCAATACGCGACACCTGCATACCTTGAGGAACTTCTCCAAACTTACACCGATGAAGTCACTTGCCCTCAAATCGTCGCGTGGGCCGACCTGAGTTCTGAACTGGAAACACAATCAGCTGCTAGTCAGGGAACACATCTTCCCCCTTTTGTCAATATGGACATCGTTATGCCGCTGTTTCAGAAACAATCTGCGCCTTGGAAGCGCATTGTGGAAATTCACATTGAGAAGCTCATATATACTCTGAAGGCATTTGTGGACGAAGCTTTAGAGGAGATTATCGGATCGCACGGCTCCAGTAACACAACGAATACGATCCTATCCACTTGTGTAGACACCTTCTTCGACAAGAAAGAAGACCTGCTGTGAGACAAACTTGGAGAAATTATGCGGCAATACAAGGAGGGTTATGCTTTGCCGCTTGACACTGATTTCCAGGAGACTTTGGGAAGGACGATTGCTGAACGCACCACCCCGCAAGCCGGGAACTTGGCGATCTCGGGCCAACAAACCAATGTTACAACAATTTCTTCAGCGGCTCACTGGCATGGGGTAGGTGTCATTTTTGACGGCATGCAAACCATTTACGATGCAAGCTTGGCACACTTGGTACCCAAATACCGTGGCCAACTTTCTCTCGATTTAGTCTGCCTTGCGACCATTCACTGATAACGTCATTAACCTCGCAATCGAGAGCTGCTTGATTCAAGAGCTCCCCTCAATGTTCACATCGAGGCTTGTCAATGATATGACTGATTGAAAAGTCCCGCATATAGCTATGGAATCTGAGTATATCCGCAGCTATCGCTCTCAGCTCGAGGAAGATATCAAGCAGCTGAAGCGGGGGCTCGAGGTATGTCGCCGCTTCCGACCCAGATAAACTGTTGCAAAGTTAAGGTCTACAAAGAAGAGCATTCATGAAACTCGAACGGCAACCAGGCCGACTTCGGCACTAGACGATTTTGGAGCCACGCCACCCTTCACTCAGCCACAAACATTTCAACTACCCTTGAGACGAATCCCAGAGATGCCAAAGCCCAAGGCAGACGTTTCGAAAGTATCATCAGGCGCGGGGCTGTTTGGAACATCAACAGCTGTACCCGGCCTCTCGACTTCAGCAACCGCGCCGCTGGCCCCTTCAGCTGCCCAAGAGACGAACACGTTCACTTTTCGAGACCCGGTAAAAGGTAGAGTCTACTCCTTGGGTATTCCTCTGGAATCTAAGCAGAAAATCGTGCCACGCAAAATGAAAAAGGCAAGGGGAGCTCCATCAGCCTCTTCAAATTCACCTTCAGTCCTAAATGGGAAGGTTTGGGGAGGTTCATTCAAAGAGTCCTTCAAGCCACGCTCACCAGCTCCCAAGACGCGCTTCGGCATTCAAACCACAAAGGACAATACAAGTGCATCCCCGCAGCCTGTAGCAGAGTAATGATTCAAACTAATTCCTAGCTATCAAAGACGGATCGAATACATGTCATGAGGACTGGCTTAGACACTGCATCATGTTGATCCCTACGTCGAAGGCCGAATTACGGGTATACCGCCATTCTCAATACAATGAAGGTTTCTTTTATCATCACATATGTGTCTGCAAAGAACATTTGGGTCTTTCACAGAAGGAGATCAGGTTGGCGGACTATTTTGCCAACTTCAAGAATGAATAAACGCGGGTGTCGGAGGGACGAACGTATGGTGAGAGCGATTTGTGGAGCGCTCATTGATCCACATCAGTTGCATTCTAGATTCCAAGAATAAGTAGATGTTTCATCAAGTATATTATGGGAACTAGAAGCTTTCAGTCTCTTTCAAGAATAGAATATGTAAGTATTAAGCTAACTCTAACTAAGAGTCTTCTATTAAATGAATGCTTAAATTGCTTAACAAATAGGTCCTCTATAGAGGTGGGCAAACCCCTATTATATATAATAAAGGCCTCGTTAGCTACACTTTTAGCTTTATACTACTATAGCTTAACCTCTATTTAATACTCCTATTTAATCTAAAGTAATAAGTTAATACTAACTAAAGAAAAGAAATAAAAAGTAATTAAATAAACTTTATAATATTCTATCTATATAATATTAAGTTTTATCTACTAACTTTATAAAAACCTTAGTATTAAAAAACTTTATAAGAAAAATAACTAGCTACTAAAGGGAAAAACAGTCTATTAGCTATACTTTTTTCTAAACTACTATATAAATATTAAGTTACTTCTTAATTAGCTTAATATAGTTCTAAATATAAATATTAACTTTAACGTTTTTATTATTACTATATTATACCTTTTCATTTTCTATAAATAATTATTATTAAACTTTATAAATAGTATATTTTAAATATTTCTCTAACGTACTCACATAGCAAGTCAGCTAACATAGCAAGTTAGCCACCTTCCTCTACCTTTCAACCTTTTGTATAAGTTAATTCAACCACAACATACGAAATCAATTAAAACTATATATCATCCTCTTCCTCATCACTATCCCAAACTACTTCACAGGTTCGTGCGTTATGTCCAGACTTTCTGTAATTGCCACAGCGTTGCGCGTGTGGTTTAGCACCTTCTGTATAACCCTCTTTCTGAGGGTTATTTTCTCCTCTAGTATTAACACTACTTTTTTCTATTTATAATGCTTCTACTTTAGTAGTATTAAGTAACCCTCTAAGATATAATTAGGTCTTTTTGCTTTTTAGCGCTTATTTAATACTTTATTTACTATATAAAGCCTATAGTTCTTAGTTTTAATAAGAGCTAGTTAGTAGGCTAACTTATTAATACTTTTTGCCTATAGGTTAACTACTTTATATAAAAGTGTTAATAAGTTATTTTAATATATTTAGATCTTCTTTTTAAGGGAGGAAGCATTTTATATACCTTTTAGTATTATAGTTAGTATTTTTATATCCTAAGAGCTTTAGCTGCTTAGCTATAAGTTTAATAGTATTAATATCTTTAGCTTAAAATCTAAGTGAGAAAGAACTACTTTAGGGTTAAAAGGTATAAGGCCTGGTTATCTAAAACTAGCTTATATATTCTTTTTGCCTATTGAGGTAAAGAATACTGCTTTAAAAGTAGGAAAGAAGTTATTCTTAATAATATATAAAATCTATATCTATATTATCTTCTTGATTTCCTTGCTATGTAAATATTTTAAGAAGCTAAAACACCTAATGTTAAGAGGCTAGAGCTTATGCGATAAATGGGGAGGTATATAAAGAGTAATAATACTTTATTACTTATAGTATTTATTAAAGTTAGTTAATTTATAGCTATTATAATTATTAAGGATTAAGAGGTGATAAGAGGCTTTTATATAAGTCTTTATATACTAATTAAAATGCTTTAGCTAATTTAGGCTAATATTATTTATTATCTATCTATTTTTGCTTAGATAGATATATTCTATAGCTAGGAATTAGCTATTAGTATACTAAGAGAGGAGGTGATATTTACCTTTTATAATAATATATAGAGGTATTACCTAGCTATCTATATATACACCTTAAATAATAGAAACCTATTCCTAATTATTAAGCTGCTTTATATAAAGCCTTCTCTTATAATTAGACGTTATAATAACTTTTATATATAATAGTATTCCTATTAGGAACCTAGTCTTATTAAAATTATAGATATTGCTATTAAATATTCTATATTTTATGATTATATTTTATATAAATATAAACTAACCTCATATAATTATAAGATCTTTAGCTAAAGCCTTCTAATAGTTAATTTAATATTAAAATTAAATTTTTAATTAGGGGATATATTATATAAAGTTCTCTACTTATTAAGGTCCTATATATATCCTATTATATATATTTAGAAGTTAGTCAGCTATTTCTTATATATCTTCTTATTACAGAAGAAACCCTTAATTAATTAGGTTAATAACTTATTTAAGAATTACCTCCTCTTGTGTTATAGTTATCTTTATTAAATTTAGTTATCTTTTAGGTTATGCGACGCATCTAGCGCGTCAGTCTTAGAGTGTCGTTCGAGGGACCTCAAAGGTTCAGGCTGCTTTTCGTATAGACATTTTTAGGTCTTTTTCGATAGCCTAGAGGGCAAGGATAATGCGACTTTCAATTAGGGTAGATTGTATGTTTGTACGTGGAGGAAAGTTAGTATAAAGGTTAAAGAGGTAGAAAGTAGGAATAGTGGCTGACTTGCTATGTTGGCCGACTCGCTATGCGAGTATGTTATATCAATATATAAAGTTTATAGAATATTATATTATAATTTCTTTATAGTCTTTTTATAGCTAATTATAGAGATTTCTCTATAATTTCTAAAGAACTACTAAAATCTAGCTATTTTCTATAATATTAGTTTTAATATTATTATTATAAATAATTAAGTATTTTCTCTTTTTAATATTAGATAGTATTAGAGTAGTAAAATAGTACTATTAAGTTTTTATCTATTTATTACTTTTACTAATTTAGTTTTAAAATAGCTTACTAAAGAATTTTAATTAAGCTATTTTACTACTTTTTAAGTATTTTAAGGAAATTACTAATAATATTAGTAGTTATATCGTTTTTAAAGTAAAAGAACTACAAGTTTTCTATTAAAGCTTTCGAGTAAATATAGGCGTAAAACCTTTTTAGGCTATTAAACTAGTAGTAGAACAGCTTAAAGAATAATATATATTAGCTACATATTTTAAATTTTAAAGTAGTATAATCCTTAAGCTTAATATAGCTTTTAATTTAAAATACTACTTTTTAAACGTTAATAATAAGTAGCTTTTTAAGCTAGTTAAGCTAAAAAATATTTCTAATCTTTTATGCTTTAATAAGTTTATAATATATACTTATTTAGCTTTGTTACTTTAAATCTTCTATTTAAGGCTTAATACTTTTTTTAAACTTTTCTTAGTAGTTTTATTAGTTTATTAGTAATTTATTTACTTATTAGTATATATTAAAAGTTAATAATACCTTTTTAGGCTTATTTGCAAAAGAAATAGTACTAAATATTAATATACTTTACTTTAGAGTAAAACTAAAGGTTTTTATTAAGTATAAGGGCGTTTTAGTTATTACTATATAATATTATAGCTATTTCTAAATTATTACTATGAACTACTATGGTAGTAAAAGTATTAATTTTATTTATTTTACTAATTAAGCTTTTAAACTATATTGCTTTTTTTATTACTTATACAGAGCTTTTATATTCAGCTTTATAGGAGGAGAAAATAACTACTATTTATTATTTTAAGTATTAACTAAATATATTACTACTAATATTAAATAAATAGCTAGCTATAAACTAATAAGTATTTATATCTCTAGCTTAATTGCTATTTAAAAAGCTAACTAACAACTTAATAAGCTTTTTATATTTTAGTTTA